ATATATTGATCAATAAAGAACCATAATTAACAAGGAACCCATGGTGAGCGTCAGAAATCATAATGATCAACGGCCAAAGAAATATATATACACTTGTACATTGGACGCACACACCGAATTATACCAAAAAATCCATCTCCTTACCAAAAAAACTCACTTATTTTTTTCATTTAATTTTTTTAGGCCACATTTTTTATCGAAAAAAACCCGAATATACTGTTGTTCTCGATTTTTTGTCCTCTTTCCATAGAGATCGATGTTGATATATAAAAAACGAACTTTTTTTTCGAAAAAAACTCACTTCATTTTGTTAGTTTTTTCAATATTTCAGTTTATTTTTATCAAAAAAAAAAACTAATTATACCAAAAATATAAGTTTTTTGTACTTTATTAATAAACATCAACACCGACTAAAAAAAAACCTCGATCAATGTAGATTCACACTGTGAATCTAAACTGCAATATATTTCAATTTTTAACATTCACAATGTGAAAAATCTCGATCAGTTCATATTCACGTTGTGAATCTGAGTTACTATGATGCACACTGTGAATCTGAGAATGTTCACAATGTGAATCTAAACTGAAATATCGATTTTTTTAAGCATCAATATGAATCTATGTTTAAAGAGTACCAAAAAGTATGAATTTTGATATATTTATTATTGTTTTCTATAAAAAATAGACCTACTTTTCAACAAACAAAGAAAATAAAGTGGGTTTATTGAAAAAAAAATCATTTTTATATATAAATATGGATCTCTATGGAAAGAGGACGAAAAATCACGAACAATGGTATATTCGTTTTTTTTTGATAAAAAACATGGCCTAAAAAAATTAAACTAAAAAAAATTGAGTTTTGTTATAATCCGGTGCATGTGCGTCCATTGTAAAAGTCTACAACCTTTTGTTTTGTCGTTGACCGCTTTAAATTTCGACGCTTTAGATTGGTTCTTTGGTTTCTTTATTAATAATGGTTCTCTATTGAACTTTTCACTATATATATATATATATATATATATATATATATATATATATTCTAGAAATGTTTTGAGGCCCGTGCTAAGCACGACCCATTGCGAGTTATTTGATTAATTTAAAAAATTAGGGTAGAATTAATGTTATCACCTATCTTTGAAATACAATGTCTTGAGGCTATCAGGAGTGGTGGCGGGGGGAAATGGTATTAACATGACGATGAGGTGACAATACTTTTGGAGTGGTCAAGTGGTGACCACTCCTGATATAGCTTAACAAGCAAAGAT